ATTCTCTTATAAATAAATGATGTTATGCAGCATCAACAAACTGCAAATGTGTTTTTTCTCCCTTATGATTTTCTACGGAATATTAAACAAAATGTTATTGAGTGCTTGTTACTGATGTCTTGGGAGTAGGGGAACAGTGCTGGGAAGCCCCATGCTGTTCAAGGGTCAACTGCATGTGCCACACACCATGGACTGGAGCACATGCTTCACATGCAGGAGGCCCAGTTTCAAACTCAGCACCACAGGGTCCCCCGAGCAGGTCCCCCAAGCACAGCCAGGGGCGACCACCTGGCACCAAGCTACTCCTGTAGTCCCCAAGCACTGCCAGGTATGACTGCCCCCATCCCCTCTCCCCCCAACACACACGCACACACACACACACACACACGCCTGGGGGACATGCTGGGGTGCACAGCAGGCAGTACAGTGCCAGCAACCTAAACTAGGGCCGTGCACAGGATTCATGCAACCTGAAGCTGTCCAGTACATTTCACAGCTGCCAGGGTAAATGGGCTTACAGAGACATTCCAATCTTTTACAGCTCTAGTAAATGTATTTCCTTCTATTAATTTCTAGGAAGGTAGGCTAGAATCTTTCTGTAATATGACCAAGAATGCATAAACTGAGAGCTGACAATGGATTGACATCAATCCATCATTTTAGGGCCGAAGAGCTCCACTACCTGAATCATTTTTAGTTCCTTTCTGTTACTCATTCCTTTTTTTGATTCTAATCATTTCATCAGGGTTTCTGGTAGACCTGGTATCTCAGAAGGAACGAGAACTCCTATGTACCAAGAGAGAAGGAGGTCGGATGACAGCCTCTCCTGACAGAGGGAGTTTCTAAGTGTCGTTAGACAACCAGAGTAAGCGTTGGGCACCTAAAGACAAATTCTGGGGTGTACTTCTTGTAGGGTCTCTGTTAAAATGTGAAACAGCTTTCAGGGTCATTCATTTTGAACCCAAAACTTTTACCTCCCAAGTACTGTGTAAACAATTTTTGTCCTCTTGAAGTGCTTTCTGCTGAATTTCCCCAACTAATTTGACATATACCTTGAGGGCAAAAATTATCTCACAAATTGCATTCACACGGGTGGTGGGTAGTGGGCACTGGTGAAGGGATTGGTGTTGGAACGAGAGACGCCTGAAACTCAATCATAAATATCTTTATAACTTTGAAATTCACGGTGATTCAATGAAAAAAGCAAAACAACACCAACAATAAAAATTGCATTCTCTACTCTGAGAGTCTTTTTCCTGGGCTTCTGGACCTTAGTAGTCCTGAATTCAAATTTGCGTTGTCCTAGTTAGTAATCCGAAACAAGTTCTGGGCTGCTGCTTTCTATCTGGTATGGCCAGAAGTTGGCAGATGCTGCAAGGATTTTTTTTTTTAAGGCAGAAACTCAGCTCGGTGTGTTTTCTTTCTTTCTTTCTGTAATTTGGCTCCTGCCAAATTTATCCTGGCTGCTTTCACTTGTTCCCAGTGCCTTCAAAGATATAAATATGTATTTTAAATAGCTTTTATAGTAGTTCAGAACCACAGAGTTTGGTGTAACAACAGTCTAACTCAACAACATACAGACGTTTATGTAGAATTGTATTTACTGGTGTGTTTTTCACTGTAGCTTTCTGAAAATAGGAATTTTCTGATCTCTGTTTCAACACCCAGCAACACGATATTCGGCACAGAGCTTAGAATGATTTTAAGTTGGTGTCTAAGTCAGCTGGGCTAACTTAAAAATTGTAAGTTATTTAAATTTAAAACCATGCTAATAGTAAAGTGTATGCTTTACATGTACGAGACCTAGGTCTGAGCCCCAGCATTGCCACACACACACATGCAAAGTATCTACGTTAACTTTTGCATTTAGAAAAATTGCTAGAATACCAGTAAAGCCTAATACATAAAAACTTCATTTCTAAATTATTTAAACCCATCAACTGTTCACTCATATCCACTACGAAATGGCCAGTTTTCGTCTTCTTTGGCTCAAGCACTAAAGAACAAATTCCCAACTAAACTGCATTTAATGCTTATTAGAGATTAAATTACCTCAGGCAGTACTAAGAGCTTCTGTTCATTTATTAAAACTGTTTTGTACTAGATTAAGTGATTTTGTTATTCTTTGGCTTAACTAAGCCATTTTTAAGTCTGGCATCTTATGAGAAAACGATGCAATTTTTCATTTAAAGTGAAGCTCTCTTATATTAACCTTTGAGGGGCTCCTTGGTTTTAATCAGTTAGGCTTTTCTAAAATAAAAGAACAGGAATGCAACATAAACTGCCACAAACATAATTTGTAACCAAAACAAGTTTACCAAGAGTATAAATTATTTTCTCTATTATCTGGTTTGCTTTATTGTACTATTCATCTCATACTGTTAGTCCCTAAAGAAACGGATAAAAGAACTGAAAGTCCCTGGGAAGCAGAAATTACAACGGTTAGAGAACAGGATTAGATTATTACTTCTTATAGGTTCTCCCTATAAGTCTTAAAAATTATTATTTAAATTTAAAACCATCATCATACAAAACAGAGGCACCGATTAAAATAAGCAAGATGCAGTCCTTAAAGCAGCAACTCAGAAAGTTGTGGATGGGAAGCCATGAACTCACAACAGAGCCTTGAGGCAGTCATTTATTTGCGTGGGGAATCTCGGCCTCACATTTGTAAACCTGACAGTAATCAGACCATCGAGGCCCTTTTAACAGTAATATTTTAGCATTCTAAAACTTTAGTGAACAATAAGTGATGGCACAATTTAAAAGGGACAAATTTGTTAGATAAAAGGCCAAAGTCAGAGGGCTTGTTTTGTAATGGACAGTTAATAAAATTACAGTGTGATTAATGCAATTATTTTAGGATGACTCTTAAGAGTTAAAGGAAGACGATACGGGTATTAGGGAATCTATCTCCATTGATTAGACAGCTCCTATGACATACAGCATGCATGTGCTGAGGAGTAATGATGCATCTGGGGTCTGAGAAAGCAGTACGTGCTAAGTGTCACTTAACGGCTCCTGCTCAAGTGAGCTGGTCAAGTGTCACAACCTGCCCTTTCCTCCAGACTGTGAGTCCTCAGACACTAAAGGGCTGGTTTCAAACTGCCGTCTCCAAAGGACAGGCAAGCTCATCACTCAGCCAGAGCTACAGCCCAGTAAGAGCTTTTTGACAACATATAGATGCAGCTTTCAGTGGAAGATTATGTATTTCAGATGGTCTCATTTTAACTCACAGACTTTGAAATACAAGAACCAGCACCATCTCTATTTTTAAACAGCTTTTAAAGAACAGGTATCTACCTTATAGGACATAAAAGCTAAACAAACAAGGACATCAATATTATTACAGAAGAGTTCATAGGAAATAGGAAGGGGGAGCTGGGTTGTAGCAAAGACTGCCTTAAGCACAAAAATGTTTCCCTTTGTTTAAGGATGCTGAGCTATAGTTTTCTCAGCTGTAGTTTTCTTGTGGGATCTTATTCTAGCATTGGTAAGAGGAAAATATGGGCCTGCGAGAATGAGTTAGGAAATGTCCTTCTATTTTTCGAAACATGGAGGTTAAATCTTCTAAGTATGTGGCAGAAGAGGCTGGGGATGTTATCTGGTGGTACTTGAGCCACAAGGCTTGGCACGCCTCACACCTGCAATACCAAAACATCTGGCAGAAGTCATCTGGTCCTGGCTTTCTGGTGTTCTAGTTCTGTTCAGATTCTTTTTGCTCTTGAGTCAGCCTTGTAGTTTGTGTCTGAGTTAAACGTTCTGAAGATGAATGGTTTGGCTACTGATTTTTGAATGTCCTTCTTGCAACAAGTATTAACTACCGAAGGCAGGACTCAGGATCCTGGTGTTAGGGCTGTTGTGGATCAAATCCCCCTGGCCACCCTGGAAAAGGAGTGACCACTTCCCTGAGCTCACTGCAGGCTGACCCTTAGGACATGGTGCGGAGGGATGGCTATATCCATAGACAGCTACTCCCTCAGCTCAGTGCTTCTCGCACGCTGGGCTGGGACTGTTCTGCTAGCAGTTCCTGGCCTTGCGCAGATGTGAGATGAGGGCTGGGGGAGAGGCTATCCAACAGCCTGGTAGTTCTTGCCTTGGACGTGCTCCCTACAATGCTTAGTCCTGACTCCTAACGGTGGCCCTGAACAACCTCCAAGATTCTACTGCTTTACGCCTCCTCTTTCATGTACACATTACCGGGAAACATTGCCCTTTAGCTCCTTTATGAAGTTCTATGAAGAATTCAGAACTCTAAATCCTTTCTTATGTCATGCTTTGTGTTCATCAAAATATGAAAGAGCAATTCAGAGTATCTGTTGAAATTTGAGGAGACTCTTTCTAACACTGGATGTGAGGTCATCAGAACCTTCCAGCAGTCTATGTATATATTTTAGAGGTTTCCATTGTGTACTTCTCCCAAAAGACATCCTTACCTAATGTCACTTAGAGTGGGTTATTAAAATAGTGCAGATGTTGGGGCTGGAGCGATAGCACAGCGGGTAGGGCGTTTGCCTTGCACGCAGCCAACATGGCCAACACAGGTTCGATTCCCAGCACCCCATATGGTCCCCTGAGCACCTCCAGGAGCAATTCCTGAGTGCATGAGCCAGGAGTAACACCTGAGCATCGCCGGGTGTGACCCAAAAAGCAAAAAAAAAAGTGCAGATGTGAGATGAGGGCACAAAGACACCACAACAGGAAGGATGCCCTGGAGAACACCTGGAAGGAAACTTTACATGCAAGATTCAAAGTAAAATTACTACCTTTTCACTTAGTCCAGCCGAGTTCTCAACTAAAGCATTTAACCAGAACTTAAATAACAAGTGCGATAAAGGCAGAAAGACCAGCTCCTCTAAAAGAAACTTTTTCATCCGAGTGCTACTGAGTTGAGTTTGGGGTAGAGTCCAAATGCTGAGACCAGTGACAGGACCTGTCATTCCTAATGTGGGAACCAGCACCTGGCTTAGCAAGTGCTGGTGTGAGCACTGTTAGATTACCTGGTAACCTTCTGTCTTCTTCTGACACCATTTCAGCAAGGCATTCCTCTTTGAGCCTCCATATTCTCTTGCCAGTGCTGAGAGAGGATCCTTCCTTTCTTCCCTGATACATAAAAATAAGAAACCCAAAGGTGAAATAATTTTTAATCTGAGTAGCACTGTAAGTAGATATACACAGTGGCAAGATGTACCTTTTTATTTAGTTTTACCTATCAATTTTTGCAGAGTTGTGACAGAACCATCATCACCAGAAGTTTTGGCTGGAGCAATAGCACAGCGGGTAGGGTGTTCGCCTTACAAGCGGCCAACATGGCCGACCCGAGTTCAATTCCTCCGCCCCTCTTGGAGAGCCCGGCAAGCTACCGAGAGTATTCGATATGCCAGACACAGTAACAACAAAGTCTCCAATGGAGACATTACTGGGCCCACTCGAGCAAATCAACGATCGACGGGAAGGCCTTTACCTTTACCTTTGCTATCTAAAGGGAGAAATTCTACTTATCAGCTACTCGGAAATAGGCAAAATTTCAGTACAATGGACAGTGGACACCCACAGATAATGAAACCTATGTGAAGACGCTTGGAAAGGGAGAACAAATGAATTGTGCCAGCACCTGAAAGGTGGTGTGGCCACCTTTCATTCACTATTTGACCCGAGAACTCTGCTGGCTTTGGCTTTGTTTCACTTTTGTTTCTAACCTCCTAAGTTCTCAAGGACAGCATCTTTAAAGAATGCCTCAGGGGCTAGAGCAATAGCGCAGGCAGTGCTTTAGCCTTGCATGAAGCTGACCTGGGTTCGATCCGAGGCACCCGAGGTCCCTCAAACCTATCTGGAGTGATCTCTGAGCACAGAGTCAGGAGAAACCCCTGAGCACTGTTGGGTATGCCCCCAAACCAAAATAAAATAATTAGAAATGCTTCACTGGGCATGAGAGCTAGTAGAGATGCCTTGTATGTGACTGACCCCAGTGGATTTTCAGCACACATGGTCCCCTAAGCAACAAGAGAAGTGACCCCTGAACAAAGAGCCAGGAGTGAGCAAGCCCTGAACACCCCTAGGAGTGACCCCCAAACCTAACTTCCCTCTCTACCTCCTTTACTGGGCTAGAGATAGCTCAAAAGTCTAGAGTGCAAGTTTTGCATGCAGGAGGCCTGAATTCAACAGTGCACATGGCAAGTTTGCCAGAGCACCCCAGGGAATGACCCTCAGGCGGTGAGGTAGGCAGAGACCCTGAGCAACACCAGGAAGGGCCTCCAAATTCCTTTATTATGAAGACAAAGAGCAAGTCGTGTGAAATAAAGGATTATAAAGCACAAATTCTCTCTTCAAGGTGCTTACAATTGGGGGGAAGAAGGAAAAACAAATAGAAAATATTTTATAGGGGCTGGAGTGATAGCACAGTGGGTAGGGCGTTTGCCTTGCAAGCAGCTGACCCGGGTTCAATCCCTGGCATCCCATCTGGTTCCCTGAGCACCGCCAGGAGTAATTCCTGAATGCAGAGCCAGGAGTAACCCCTGTACATCGCCGGGGGTGACCAAAAAAGTCAAAACAAAAAAACATTATATTCCAAATAAAAAATATTTTGTATTACTCTATAGGCAAACCAGACACAAAATTTAAAAAGGATTCTGAGAGTACTCAGGGATGCAGCAGCAGCAGCAGCAGGAGCTGCATAGCATGTGTCTGCATGCAGATCCGTGTCCTGAGGCTCCACCAGATCTGCTGAACGCAGGTTCACACTTCAATATTCCATTGTCGAGTCACAACCTCAGGCCTCAGGATATAGTTCTGAAGTAGAGCCTAATACTAAGGACCACCTGGGGGAGATGGGCTCTGTAAAGTAACCTATTCCTTGATAAGCAACATACTTTTAAATACTTGGTGTAATTCTGTAGGGATTACTTTACCAGCAGGGTCTCTAGCCCACACCCCATAAATTTCAAGAGCTCATTATGTATCCTAAAGGTTATCAACTTGCAAGTGGTTCAGTATTATTCTGCACAGTGATTCTCCTTTTCCAACTGTCAGAATATCAAAAGTATCTTGCCCTTCGAATCATTTTAGGAAAGCAAAAGTTCCTATTTTGAAATGAAACTTTTCCAACTGGAGGCATAGGGGAGTAACAGTAAATTTATCTTAGAACCAGAAGCAAAAGAACAGAATACTTCAACACCGGGCCTAAGGAGCACCACCGCCTCAAACCCTCGCAGTGAACTGCTGCCATGCATGGTTGGCTGAGAACCCCTGGGAGTGGTCCCAGGTCTTCACAGCACTGTCTGTGGGGACCCAAAACAGAGAAGTGATGTGAACCAAGGCATGAAGGTATACTCCCACTATCTCATTCATTTTAACATGAAAGTCCCTAAACCACGAGCAAGGTTACTATGGGTCACGTGGTCAATTTTGTTATATAAACAGCTTTAAAGCATCAAAGAAAGGCAAATTCTATGGAGACAGTAAGAAGCCATGGAAGAGCCTCCTGGAGCTGAACTTCCCTTTGAGGAGAGGAAACTAGCCAGAATCTATCTTGCCGGAGACCTTACTTCTAAGTAGGGCGCAGGAGTGGGTGCTTGCCCCAGAGGCACCAGCAGCCCCCACCTGGCACACAAAGTGCTCCCCAAGCACAGTCCTGCAGGTGCTGCAATAGAGGAGTGTGAGAGGCCAATTATCTTATTTTATCCTTAACACATGGCGAAAGTTCTGAGACCCATTTCTAGCCCTTCTTTTTGTTTTGTTTTGGGACCACACCTGGCAGTGCCCCAGGCTCACTACTAGCCCTGTACTCAGGGATCATTCTTGGTGGGGACTGGGGAGACCATACGTGGTACCAGGGTCAAGCCCAGGTGAGGTGCATGCAAGGAAAGCATCCTCTCTGTTGTGATTATCTCTTTGGCTCTTTCGATTCTTCTTATGGTCTCCTTCATCAGATTTCCTTCATCTCTATGAACAACATTTTTGGTCATATTCTTTTTTTTTGGAGGGGGTTCATGTTCTTTTTTGGGGGGCTCACGTTTTCTTTCTTCTAAACATTAAGTACTTTCTACAGCTAAGTGGCTTCTGACATAAGAGACACATGAAAAGATACATCACATTTTCATGTATTCATCAACTCTAAATGTAGTATTATATTCTCAGTCCCACCCTTAACAATTAGAGCCATCTTTGATGCGTCTCATTCTTTTATTCCTTCTCGGAGAATCTGTTGCCAGAATTAATGAACTTCTCTTTGAAAACCCCAAGTCCAGCCCTTCTTCCACCATTTCAACTGCCATTGTCTTGGTCCAGATTTGGAGACTTTGCCCTAGAAACATTCTAATATCCTTTTAGCTGCTTTCCTTGACTTTTGTTTAGAATAATCTTTCAATCGTGTCGCTGATTTATTTGTCAAACTTTACAGCTGCTACCCAGTGGCCTTAGAGGGTCTCCATTGCCTCGCAAGAACAATCCCAGCCTACTGGTTTCTACTGCAGCTGAACAGGCCTGGTGTCTCTTTCCATCTCCCTCCAACACACAGCAAACGTCCTTGCTTCCTAGACTGCTGGCTCCCCCAACTCTCGGGTCATTCTTTGTTGTTTGTTTTGGGTCCTGCTCGGCAGTGCTCAAAGGCCCCACCTGGTAGTGCTTGGGGGTCTGTATGCAGTACTGTGGATGGAACCTGGGTATGTGACAAGCAGGACACGTGCCTGACCTCCTCCTGTGCCATCTCTCGGGCCCTATTCATTCTTTTTGTACATTTACTCATGTCACTATCTTTGCCAATAGAGCCCTGCCTTCCTCCCTCTTCTTCAACCTTCAAGGTTGTACTCAAATTCCATTCTTTTAGGAAATCTTCCCTAACATTCTACTCATAACACTAGTATTTTACAATGAGTCTCTGATTTAAAAAAAAAAAAAATCCAAAACCAAACCCAAAACCCCATGAACAAAATAATGAGGTACCTGAGGAAAGGAACTTCTTTTGTTTTTGTTTTCACTTCTATCTTACCCAGTTCTGAGTATAGGGAAAGCAATCAGAAAACAGTAACACACAAAGGGAAAAACATCAGATCAGTGCTTGAAAGCCATTATTTTACAACCAGATGATTCCCTCCCAAAGGCCAGGAAAGTTGGGTCCGAGCTGTGGCCAGTGAACTGCTTACCTGATGCGGCTCCGGGTGGTGGGGGTAACAGAGGCGGTGGGAGAGGAGGAGAGCGAGAGCTGTGGGGAGGTGGTCCCCATAGCCATGAGAGAGGCGGGCGACGCTCCTTCTGGTGCAGAGATATCTCGTTTCATCTCTTCACTACTTCTGCGAGACACTGGTTAGAAGAAATGGGTACTTTCAATTTTATAGCATAAACTGTTTTTTGGGTGGTTGGAGTTTACCCCAGTCGTACTCAGTATCTATTCCAGGCTCTGCGCTCAGGGATCACTCTTGGTGGACTCGGAGGCCACGGGGATGCCTGGGATTGAACCTGGGAAGGCCACGTGCAAGGTGTGCGCTCTAACCACCGTGCTATCTCTCCAGCCCACAAAGACATTTTAAATGGACTTCCTTGGAAGGTTTCAAATATATATATATTTTAAATACCATTTATCACATGAAAATATTTGGGTGGGAGGAGTGTTTGGGCCTTCCAATAGGTACTCAGGAGGCCTGGAGGACCGAACTAGTGATTCTTGATCAAACAAGCTGTTCAGTGCAGGGGCCTGAGATACTGGGTCCTCCAGGGCTGCCCAGTAATGTCTCCATTGTGAGACTTGTTATTACTGTGTTTGGCATATCGAATACATCACGGGTAGCTTGCCAGGCTTTGCTGTGCGGGCGAGATACTCTTGGTAGCTTGCCGAACTCTCCAGAAGGGCGGAGGAATCGAACCCGGGTCGTACGAGATGGCCGTGTGCAAGGCAAACGTCCTAGCCGCTGTGCTATCGCTCCAGATCCCATATACATATAGATATATAACTATATACATACATATATATTAGTTTTATTGGATCACTGTGAGATACAGTTGCAAACTTGCGTAGTCATGTTTCAGTCACATAATGCTCGAGCACCCATTCCTCCACCAGTGCACTTTCCACCATCATTGTTCCCAGTGTCCCACCGGCCACCCTCACCCCATCCCACTCCCTGCCTCTGTGGCAGGTACAATCTTTCTTATTCTCTAATTTTGGGCTTTATGATTTGCAATATAGATAGAAGAAGCCATCCTGTTTGGTCCTTGGTCTACTTTCATCTCCCATCCTAGGCGATCCTTCCAAATCTTCATTTACTTAGTGGTTCCTTCTCCATCCCAACTGCCTTTTCCCCTAGCACCTGAGTCGGGTTTCAAACCATGGTGTGATCCTCCTGGCCCTTATATATCCTAACTGTCCTTAGGTGTTAATCTCATATTATGCTATTTTATAGTCCACAAATGAGTGCAGTCATTCTATGTCTGTCCCTCTCTTTCTAATTTCACTTAGCATGATACTCTCCATGTCCATCCACTTATATGCATATTTCATCTCTTCTAACAGCTGCATCGTACTCCATTGTGTAGATGTACCAGTTTCTTTAACCAGTCATTTGTTCCCAGGCATTCGAATCCCACAGATTTTGAAGGGATGTGACCCCCCCCCCCAAATATTCTGATGTGTCATCATTTCATACACAACGAGAACTCCACATTCAATTACACTGTTGACCCAGAACAACTTGTAGGGTAGAGGTGCTAAACTCCCTGCACCCCAGCATTTGAAAATCTCAAAGTATAATTTTGAACTTGCACAAAAAATACTACCGCAGTTGACAGAAAAAAAAATACCACACCAACAATATAGTTGATGTACAACTATTCTATATATTTTATTTTATTGAATCACCCGAGTTCGATTCCTCCGCCCCTCTCGGAGAGCCCGGCAAGCTACCGAGAGTATTCGATATGCCAGACACAGTAACAACAAAGTCTCCAAAGGAGGCGTTACTGGGCCCGCTCGAGCAAATCGACGATCAACGGGAGGGCCTTTACCTTTACCTTTTTCACCGTGAGAACAGTTACAAAGCTTTCAGGTTTAAGTCTCAGTCATACAATGATCAAAAATCAAATGGTCAATGACCCAATGTTCACCAGTGCACATTTTCTACCACTAGAACCCCAGTATACCCCCATCCCCCTGCCTATTCTATATGATTTGTACACTGAGTTCTCACAACAAAGTACAAAAAAAAGAAAACATTGTTAAGAATACCCCAAGAAAGGGCTAGAAAAAGAGTACAGGCGTTAGGTGCTGGCTGATCCTCAGCACCAATATAGTCTCCCCTGAGCTGAGCACAGAGCTAAGAGTAAGCCCTGAGCACCACCAAGTGTGGCTCAAACCCCCCCCCCCCCCCCAAGACAGAAAGGAAAGCTACTTCTTACGTGGTTTGATTTAAGTCTGATTCAGGCTATATTGTTGTTTTATTTCTCCATTTATTTTGGTTTGGAGCCTTACCCAGTGGAACACAGGTGCTACTCCTAGGTTTGTGTTTTGGGGTCACTCCTATCAGTGCTCAGGGCACCATGCAGGGGTGAACTGGGACTGAACTGGGTCTTGACCTGGGACTGAACTGGGCTTCCTGCATGCAAACCATCTGCTCTGTCCCTTAAGTTACCTATCCAGCACAAGGCTGTATTTTTAAAGAAAAGACAAAACATCTATCAGTGAGATCAGCAGGAAACTAAAAGGTGTCACCTATTGGGAAATGATGACATCATACCATATGGGAATCAGAGGAAGGAGCTGCTTCAGCCCACAGTAAGAGGTCACAACAAAAGCAGCTTTCCAGCAAGGAGTAAGGCAAACAGGAGCTCAGGACACTGGACTGAGCACAGTCAGAAAAAGTTCCAGACCTCAGACAAGTTCTCTCTTGCCTGAGAATAGTCCGGATATCAGCCCTGGGCTGGTAGTAATGCAACCAATATTCTACATCAATAATGTTCTGCCCTTTATTGGTTCCATTTTCCTTAACGATGTCAAGGTAATTACAAGCAGAGTCTGACTCAGCACTAGGAAAGCGATCTCTTTAAGGACACACTTTGCACGTGGAAGCCCTAGGTTTGATCCCAGGCACGGCATGTTAAAGGAAGGAAACTAGGTTTTTTTTAAAAAATAAAGCCATTCACTGGCAATTATGGCCATAAAACTGATTCATATAGACTCTGGACAATTAAACAGGGAATATTCAGAGTAAAAAAATAATCAATTCTGGATGCATTTCGGTTGGGCATTATATTTTGCTCGATTTTCCCACCACCATTCAAGCCTGTTTTTCAGGGACAAATGCTAGATCATTTACTTTCCATTGATCACTTTGCATATCAGAAAATGGCTGCTTATGCAGCCGTGCGGTTCAGAACATTGTCCTGGTACCCACATACCAGAGCCATGCTTGTAGAAGCTCATGGTCACCGGGATTTCATCTGGAGAAGGCCGGGAGACAGCACCTATCCCATCTGGGACCTCCCGGTGATATCGGCATTGTATGGGGCCCAGAGAATTCTCCAGGAGTTGTGCAGCCCTCCAGCCGGTTTTCTTTGCTGCTGTGTGCTGGAAGATGGCGCTGGAGGTGGGTTGTGGACGTGACTTTCGGGATCAGAGGTTGCCTGGGAACCAGGGCGGCCCCATTGTGGTTCAGAAAATAGTCCTGGTATGTGCATTTAACTATGGTGCTATGCCACCCTGGGAGGGGAAGGGTGTCTGTGCCTCCGCCTGTCCCCCCTTGTGGTGGCGGCATGGAGGCCTGCATCTTTTAGAGCCTAATGAACAGCGAGGTATGAGACTGCACTGACGAGGCACATGGGGCCTCATGGGATGGGGGGTGGAATCGGCCCTGCTCCCCGCCATGACAATGCCCTGGGTTGCCATCCTCAAACGCCTCCTCCGACTTCTGAACGACCATGATCCCAGAGGCACAAAAACCAATCTCAGAACCCAGGGGCTTTTGGCAGTAATCCCTCTAGGCTTACCCTTATTACTAAAATATCAGAAATCCAAATTCACATGGTCACTTGTGGCCACACAACATCATATGCTCTTCATAATCAGCAACAGAAAACAAAGTATCTAATTATGTCTTTTTGGCAGGTCTGAATGTTGGGGAAAATTCCAAAGAATAATGTTGGGTCTTTTGTCGTAATATTGAATGTGATCAACGTAGAGAGAGAGAGTAAAGTGGAAATCTGCCACACAGGCGGGAGGTGAGTGGGAGGGGAGTATACTGGGGTTCTTGGAAGTGGAAAATGTGCACTGGTGAAGGGACGGGTGTTTGATCATTGTATGACCGACTGAGACTTGAACTGAAAGGCTTTCTGACTGTTGTCACGGTGATTCAATAAATTAAAAAAAAAAATCAGCTCAAGTACTAAAAAAAAGAGGTTAGTAAAGTTAAACAAGTGTAAAGAGAAAGTATTCAGTACCATCACTGAAACTCTGGAAGCACTTTTTAAAAAGAAATTTTCAGATAAAAGTGATTACCTGAAATGGACTTGGCACTTTCCATGGCGGGCACTCTTGGAAGAGAAGCAGGTCGGCTCGTTGAAGATGTTCTTAATAGATGCTCTGAACAAAAAAGGAAGGGTCACAATAAAACAAACAAAACCCTGACACTTGGCACTTATGGTAGCAGGAAGGAGAGTTTTCCTTTTCTCACCCTTAAAGCCTCACCCTCCTTTCCAACCCAAGGCCCTTCGACAACTCCCCATAGACCATTTACACAAAACAACATCCACAAAGAACGTGCAATGGCATCTCACTTAATGCTTTATTTAGAGGGCTGAAACCTTTAAAACAGAGAAATGCCTTTTATTTTTGCTCCTGGCCCACACCCGGTGTGCTCAAGGGTTACTCCTGAGTCTGCATTCAGGGATCACTACCGGATCAGCCATATACAGGCCAGTGCCCTATCTGCTGTGCTATCATTCCAGTCCCAATAAATGCTTTTTAATCACTGGTTGCTCTCTGAGGCAATTCAACCAAAACTGTAAACCCCTCCTACTGCCTTTAGGTCCCATAGTATAAACTAAATGAAATATTTCATACCTACACTTAGTGGGCAAAGTCAGACATACGTACAAGTCAAATGGAACACTAGAATGCCCTTCGCTTGGATTTTTGGCAGTGGGGAAGGCTTGAACAACATAACAATATTAAGGTTGACTTTACTAGTTGTAAAGAAAAGGATTAGGGAAGGATACCTCAGTCAAACAATAAACAGAATAGTTTTAAGGATGTTTAATTAGAGAATAATAAAATCCCAGAGTGGGGCCAGAGAAAAAATAATAGGGTAGGGTGCTTGTCTTGCATTCTGCCAACTGGGGTCTACTTCCAGCATCCCATACGGCCCCCCTGAACATTGCCAAAGAATGGTTCCTGAGTGCAGAGTCAGGAGTAAGCCCTGAGCATCGCTGGCTGTGGCCCCCAAACCAAAAACAAACAAATTAAAATCCCAGAGTGACTAAAACATGGGTTATATGGGAAAGAGGGTGGAGGAAATGGAGCTTTAAAGGAGAGGCTGAGTCTTTATCATCTTTACCATCACCTGCTACGTGAACTTTAGTCTATGGGTAAGAAGGGAGTGTCTGGCATTTCTGACCATTCCAGAAAGAATCCAGATGCTGCTCTACTGTCTATGTTTGCAGCCGCACCTTGGAGTCCGTGGGCAAGAAGGAAGTGTCTGACCTTTCCAGGAAGAATCAGATGCTGCTCTACTCTGTTTGCAGGCGCACCTTGGAACCTGAAGGGAGTGTCTGGCATTTCTGATCATTCAAGAAGATCCGAGATGCCGCTCTACTGACTACTTTTGCTACCTCACCTTGTTCAACTCTTCCCTTGCTTTCGAAACATAAGCTGCATTGAGAGTCAGAGTTCCTTGAATATTGGCCCAAGCTGTTTCTTCACTTCCTTAGTCTGGCTGACTTTACCATTCTTCAGGTAGAGCTCTAATAGCACTTCCCCAGGACCTGTTCCCCCGCAGTGGAAGCCCCCAACACAGGCCCTGCCTATCCTCCCTGCCAGCGCACTTCTTCCTTAAGGCTACCGGATCACACGCCTGAGGATCAGTAAGTTTTGCCAGACCCAGGGTGGCATGTTAGGGATGTGTGATTTGCATGGGAAAAAACACCGCCTCTTTATACTTAGATGAGACCATCAGTCTCACTGTCCAAGAATGTCCCTCCAACAAACAATTTAACAAGAGGAAAAGAAAGCTTCACCAAACACTAACAGAAGATCATCCATTACTTCTTTTTAGCAAATGAACATTTAGGGCCAGGGAGAAGGCTCAAAGAGCTGGCACACAGGCTGGAAGTTCTGGGTTCAATCCCTGGCACCACCAGCAATACGACTCCAGAAACAAAAAAAGGGAAAAAAATGAATGAGAGCTTTAAAAGTATTCCCTCTCAAGTTATCATGACATCAGAAGTAATAGCTTGTGATTCTTTCTTTCTTTCATTCCAAATTCACATTCTAAGCATATGAGGTCTTCTTTGGAGGAGAAGGAATTGGGAAGGATGAACTCACTTTCTTAATAAAGATAGGACGTGTGCAGCTTCAAGTCGTCCCATCTTATCTAGAACAAACATCACCTCTGTACAAAGAGCCTACAAGCAAGCATCAATCAGTATACTGAACCCTGCTGCAGTTGGCAATCATCCTCACAGGAAGAGCATATTATGCACAAAGTCTGACAGACAAAACAAAGTCAGCGGAACACGGAAATAGTAGGAAGCAGAAATCAGCATTTTAAATTTAATCAAATTTTCCATACCACAATTATGAAACTGGTCACTTCCTTAAAATCTGAAGTATTCCAAAGATGACAGCAAGTGAAGAAAGTGAAAACAAATGAATACAGAAGAACCGACAGAACGAGGGGGTCTAGCTCAGGCGTGATGCTCTTCTCAGTGACTACCCGGGCTTCCTAAGCTGCCTCATCTTGCTTTGTACAAGGCATATGAAGGGCACGCAACAGAAATAAAGTCTATGAAATTCCTGGCTGATGCAAATGCCCAATACCTGGCAAAGTCTTTCTTACTGTGTGTCTTAGGATTCAAGCCTTTCTCAATTAGGATACAGTCGCTAAGACAGACTAGCACCTACTTTATGAAAATGCACAAAATGATTCTGAAAGACCCAGTATGGTTATTCTTTCCAGAATCATTTGGGGTGACAATTTGCCACAAGCACAAGAGTCTCTGCTTCCATTTCCTGAGGCGAGTCCACAGTGAGAGCCGACTGGCCGGAGGCACTGGCCCCCTGTAAGAACACACATCCACTTACTGCGGCAGCAGGCCTGCCGGCTCCTACCTCCATGTCAAACCGTCCGCTTATCCCCCTTTCAGGAAATAAGATTAATACATTACAGCAGCACACAGCAGGCAGGAAAGACGATGCTTTCCAATAATAGACACGATTCTATTGCCATATGGCGCTATTTTTGTCTTTAATCCATTCATTAATCAATTCATTAAACAAAATAATTTGGGTGTCCACTACTTGTCAGGTGTGATAAAAAGAAAGGCAGCAGGACTTCTACCCTCGTGAAATTCAGAAACTGGGCATTTAAAAAACCATTACGAGTGAGGGATGCCAGGAAAGAACCGGTCCAACGGACACTGGGAACCCAGCAGGGGACATGACCTGCTCCTGAGAGGAGGTCCGGAAAGGCCTCCCGAGGAAATGACATCTCAGTCAAGACCAGAAGGACTATTAATAGTTTTTATACAGGCAAAAGGGGGCACAGAGGGGAAAGTGTTCCTAGCTAAACTGTTGGGCATATACCAACAGAAATTCAGTCTAGTCATATTCAGAGGGCAAAGAGCAAAACAGACCAGGTTAGGCTGCCAAAAAAAAAAAAAAAAAAGGCTTGGGATATCAAACCAAATCAGGGTAAATAAAGGACACAGGCAATTTAGGCCACGCTAAGGAGACTGAACTTTACCCTGTGAGCAAAAGGGAATCAGTGATGGTTTTATCAGGTGAGCATCTTTCTGGCTAAAATGGATTAGAGTAGTAACAGAGCGCAGAGAGATAAGGATGGCCTGCACTAGGGTGGTACCAAGGGAGATGGAGAGAAGTAAACAGATTCAAGGCTAATAGGATATGCAGGTGAAAGGAAGGAAGGAGATACCACATTCAGAGATAAGAAAGGACAAGGGAATTATGGGAAGAAAAAAAGGGATGAGAACACCTTGAATCGGGACCCTTATAAGATACCTAGAAAAGATGTGGAGAAGAAAGTGAAGACAAAAACGTCAGGAGAAGCTAACAAGCCAGAGTAAATACATCACTGTATCACTGTCATCCACTGATCATTGATTTACTCCATGGGCTCCAATAATGTCTCCATTCGTCCCAGCCCTTAGATCTTAGCAGCCTCTCCTTACTTGTCCTTCTAAACGAAACGTCTGTACCGGAGGCTCTTTCAGGGTCAGGGCAATGAGACCCGTTATTGCTACTGTTTTCAGCATGTCGAATACGTCACGGGTAGCTTGCCTGGCTCTGCCATGAGAGCAAATACATAGTTTTGGAAATTATCAGCAAACAGGTGATGGAGTAGGAACAAACTTGGCTACAGAGAGGTCCCGAGAACCTTGGTGAAAGCAATCTCATATACCAGTGGGGATAAAACTTATTAAGGAGCAGGAGACTGAAAGAATGTGGAGACAAGTTGTGCAAGGGGACAAGGAAAAGTCTAGTGACTGAGAGAGGGAGAAGGGAGGATTTTCCCCCTTAATAGAAGAAAGATGTGTACTTTTCTATTTTGTTTTTAATCTTTGGATCCCACCTGGCCATGCTCAGGGGTTTGCTTCTGCTCCAGCACTCAGTAATCACTCCGAGCAGTGCTCAGGGGACCATATGGGAAGCCGGGAGTTGGCCAAGTGCAAGGCAAGCACCCTACCCACGTACTATCTCTCCCGCCCCTGAGATGTGTCCATTTCAAAATGACAAGAAAGGGGAGTCAGTAGCGAGGGTGTGGTTGAAGACACAGGAGAAGGAGCGACTCAAGAGCATGAAGAAAGCCCCAAAGGATGACAGCCAAGACATGGACAAAGGCACGCCTTGTTCACCTCCAGACAACACCACCGTGAGCATGCTAGCTCTGCCACTTACTCTCCTTAGTTTAGAAGTTAGAAGTAACTTCACCCTGGTGGCAATAGGGACTGGCAGCTGTGTCTTATATTGTGTCCTGATTCAAACTTTATAGGCAAAAGTGGGTCTCAACCAGGAGGACTTCCATGGCTTGGAAGCCAGGCTCACATGCGGTGGGGAAAAGGCAGAGACGGGACCACCAAGCAAAGGATGCTTGGAGGGCTCGCTCGGGACAGAAGGTGCATGCTGAAAGTAGTCTTTAGATCAAACATGATGGCCACTTAATACCCGTACTGCAAACCATTAACACCCAAAAGGAGAGAGGGAATGTGCCTGCCACAGAGGCAGCGAGGGTTGGGGAAGGGGTGGGTGTGGTGGGAGGGATACTGGGAACACTGGTGGTGGAGAATGGGCACTGGTGGAGGAATGGATATTCAACCACTGTGTGACTGAATCACTGTGTGACTGTAATCATGAAAAGTGTTTAAGTCTGTAATTGTATCTCATGGTGTTTCATTAAAAAAATTCTAAAAAATGGGTCTCAAAAAAAAAAAAGAAGCCTAGGGGCTGGAGCAATAGCACAGCAGATAGGGCATTTGCCTTGCACGCAGCCGACCCGGGTTCGATTCCCAGCATCCCATATGGTCCCCTGAGCACCGCCAGGAGTAACTCCTGAGTGCAGAGCCAGGAGTAACCCCTGTGCATTGCCGGGTGTGACCCAAAAAGCAAAAAAAACACCACCCCTATAAATCCAACTTCTACTTCACAGAAAAGCAGTTTCAAATGGACCAATGTTGCTATTAAAGAGGCTATGAAATCTTTTAAAAAGATGAAAATCAGGAGGCAGCTGTGACTCAGCTGTCAAAGTGTCCTGCCTAATAAAGACAAAACCAAAACCAAATAAATAAATAAATAAATAAGCCCAAACCCCAACCAAAATAAAGATTAGTTAAAGGAACTAAAGGAAACCTAGAACAGACAGTGAAGGAGTCTACACCTGAAGGATTAACAATGGGAGAGTTTCCCAGTTTCATGGTTTAAGGTACAAGCGTAGGGCCCAGTTGACACTGGGTTAGAGCAAAAGTTCCATAGATTCACAATTTTCATTAATTTCCAATGTTCTGGGGCTAGAGAGACAATAGAGGGCAAGTGTTTGCCTTGCAAGCATTCGACCGTGGTTCACTGCCTGCACCCCGGGCACCCTCAGGAGTGATTCCCAAGTTCAGAGCCAAGAGTAACCCCCAAGCATCACATCATCTGGTGTCGCCCAAAAAAACAACAAAACAAAAATAAAACCTAGTGTCCTGTGTTGAAGAATCAAATTAAATTAATCAGAAGAAAATATACATTCCTAATCGTTTGAGCAAAAGAACAAAGGGCAGCTTCTTTTAAGTACAGAGAAGTCACTGAACTTTCATTTATTAGCTTTTTTCATTTTTACGGTCACGCCTGGCAATAGGGTTGCTCCATGTGGTGCTGAGGACTGGATTTGTGCCGCCCACACACAAAGCACACACTTAGCCCTTTGAGCTTTCTCTCTGAGCCATTATAGAACTTTCAATACGAAAATCACAGACTTTAAAATCTACAACAAAACAAAGAGAAGAGGAAGAAAACACAGCTAGAAACTCTACCACAGTTTGAATGATCACAGTGGTTTTTTTATGACCAAGAATCATTTGTTCTTACTTTTTTCTAAGTGGTTTCTTTCTCTAGTGACTGTTTAAGATAAAGGATCACACTATCAACAAATTCACAGATAAAAATGCATCTAAGTGTGCTTCCCTCTCTCTCCTGTATTTGCATGGTTTCAAATAAGCCCCATTAAGGCTATAACAGAATGAAGCAGAGAATTAGACTGGCATTAACACAGACTGATCACACGCACCCCAAGCCCAGCGGCATTATCATTTGATGCATTACCAGATGGTAAAATGAGGAGAGCCAGGAAAAGGTTTAATTCAGCAGAGCACTGACCTCAGTGAAACACGCACTCTGGGTCCTCAATTTCCCTGGTGCATAGACTTCATGTCCGAGTCTCCACAAACAAAAGCCACACAGGCAGAAAAAAACAAAATGCAATCTGCACTCAATTTCTAAAAACCCAAAATGCTAAAAAATGTATTTCTAATAAAAAAAAAATAAAATAAAACGAAAAGAAATATGGCATGCCAGGTCTCTCATCAGATCCAAGAGCTGCCTGGGTCAGTGACAGAGTCCCCATGGCAGTCTGGATGGAAGCAGCCCCGCGGGAAACAAGGACGAGAGCACCTGCCCGCAGGTTCTCAGCAAACACAAGGAGAGGAACTTACGAATCTACGGGGGATGGAGAGACAGTTCAGTGGGCACAGGACCGGCTCTGCACGGAGGAGGCCCCAGGTGATCCCTGACACTGCACGGAACGCTAAGCACCGATGACTGCTAGCAGTGACTCTAAGCACTATCTGGTGGCCCAAAATTAAAAACAAAACAACAACAACAAAAACAACCCTGTGAGCTAGCTATTCACAATTATTCTCATTTTATAGACAAGTATCGGAGAGGCCCAGCCAGGACACCTGAGGCTGGTGATCTGTGGCCCCTGCCTCACCTTGGTGAATCCACTGAGAAGACAGAATAGGAACATGGTAAAACTTTTTTTTTTTTGGGTTTCTGGGCCACACCTGGCAATGCTCAGGGGTTACTCCTGGCTCTAAACTCAGGGATCAGGGCTGGAGCAATAGCACAGCAGATCGGGCGTTTGCCTTGCACGCAGCCAATCTAGGTTGATTCCCAGCATCCCATATGATCCCCCGAGCACCACCAGGAGTAATTCCTGAGTGCATGAACCAGGAGGAACTCCTGTGCATTGCCGGGTGTGACCCAAAAAGCAAAATAAATAAATAAATAAATTCAGGGATCACTCTTGGTGGTGCTCAGGGAACCATATTGAACCTGGCAGGCCATGTGCAAGGCAAAAAAGCCTTATCCATTGTACTATCTCTTGGGCCCCAAGACACAGGCTTTGAATAAAAAATTTAAAGTCCTGGGGCTGGAGTGATAGCACAGTGGGTAGGGCATTTGCCTTGCACGCAGCTGATCCAGGTTCGATTCCCGGCATCCCATATGGTCCCCCGAGCACCGCCAGGAGTGATTCCTGAGTGCAGAGCCAGGAGTAACTCCTAAGCATCGCCGGGTGTGACCCAAAAAAGAAAAAAAAGAAAAAAGAAATAAAGTTCTTGTTGTCTTAGACAAATAACTTTAAAAAAAAAGATGTAAAAGAATGTTATGTTTATGGCTAAGGTTGGTCTTTGCATTCTACTAACAGGACAGCATTCGTCTACTTCTTACTCAACCTAAAGAGTGACATGTACTTGTGATTTCATCTAAAGGACTGCTCGGCTCCACCTTCTGAGGGAGAAAAGGTTTCGGGACATTGGTGAACTGATGGAATGACAACAGACACAGAAGTCTCTGTGTATGAAAGTCGTAGTACCTCCTTCCTGTAAAATAACCTCAGATATCTGAGCAACCAGCTGACCTAAACAACACTCAAGACTGGCAGATGCAGGAGTTACAGAATAGAATCCATCCTCCACCGACATTCCTTGGGGTTTCTGGGGCCCATTTCTCTTGGTTCTTCAAGGAAGTAATTCCCACATCTGCTTATTTCTTCCCCACTAAAACACTGTAGTCTTACCGCTGAGTCTAACTCCAGAGCTGAGACAGCACAGAGCACCACAACGAGGAGCCTTATCTGCAGGATGTGAGGTGCTTCGCTTACGAGTGACGTGTAAGTACACATCCCAAGCAGAGTGCTGTGTCTCACAGCACAATGCCTCTGTGCCTCAAACCATTGTGGCAGAGCACTCTGAACCCACACTGGCTATTTGGGTCAGAGAAAGCCCTAACCGTGAAAGGCAGTAAGTAGATGGGATTTCTGGTGCTGGTCTACCACATGGAGGAGGCTCTGTGAAGTGGGCAGGGCTCTTGATCAACTGCACAAAAGAATTGTCAGACCTCATCTTTTAAAGTTCACTTCCTAGGGTTCAGAAAGAGAGAATACAGCAGGTTGGGTGCTTGCCTTGCATGTGGCCGACCTAGGTTCAATTTCTGGCATCCCATAAGGTTCCCCATACCTCCAAAAGTCATTCCTGAGCTGGTGAGCTGGTGTGTGCCCCCCCCCCCCATGGTCCCAAAATAATAAAAATACAAAGTTTGTTTCCTGAGGTCTGGAGGACAGCCTAAAATGCTTAAGCTAGGTAGGTAAAGAAGTTGCAAGTTCAATTACTGCAAGTAAAGAGACTGCAATCATCTTTACAGTCCCATAGTCTGGGATCCCCAACAAGGAGATCAAAATAAAACAAAGTATGTTGCTCTTATAAACAATCATGTGAAATATAGAGATAAGAAGGATAGGTTTTGGAGTCAGGCTAGCTGGATCTATGAGAAGACCCATTAACTATGATAGCCTCACTAACTTTGCTAACCAGAATTAAGCTATTGAACTTTTTAAAGCTTCATGTAAAATGTAAATTACATATCCACTAGAAGTAAGAGAACAAAGTATCCAAGAGATTTTAACCCTTAACACAGTGGTATACAGTTTTCATTACCTATTACAATGCTATTATAATGCTAGGAGAATTGTATTCCAAGATGTATTTATTAATAACTCCCCCATGGACAATTTAGACATATTAATGGTAAGCTTCTAATAAACATGCATATCACGTTGGTTGAAATAATATCAGGAACAAGGAAGATAACTAGTTAGCCAAAACTTCAGAACAGCAATAAAATTATTAACAAAAGTATAATACTACGACATAAAATATACCTTGAACAGGGATTTCCCCATAGTTTGGTCTCTTATCTGACAAGGCTGTCAGGGGTTTGGATGTAGAGATTGGTCCACTTATGGAATGTCTCTGAAATGAGAAGATAAACAGTATTCCAAGTTAGATTAAATCTAAAGCTGGGACTAAGAAAATAAAAGTTGCAGAGAATACATATGTTCCAAGGAACTCTTTCCTTACTGAAACACACACTCTTAGAGCACATCATGTGATTAGTAACTTTAATACAGACTGATTCCATGTACTCTCTACCAGTTTTCTCCGATCTCACAGTGTCACAACCAAGATACTAGCATGGATATAGTCAAGAAACAGAACATTTTGATCACCAGAAGGATTTCTCCCTGGCCGTTTTATAATTACGTTTCTCTCCCTGCCCTCCACAGTTATTACTGATTTCTGGCAACCACTGAGTCTTGAGAGTGAGCTGGCTGTTGTGTTTAAGGAGATGTGTCAGTCTCACACACCAGCCAGCAGACTGTGGGTCTGTTCCTGGAACAACTGCTCCAGAAGAGCCTCACATCTTCAGTGCCAACAGCCACTTGCTCAGACTCTCACAGACCGTCTCTGGATGGTCAGCAGTATCTAAACTCTCAGCTTCATCTTTTGCCACCTCTACTGAGTTCTCAAACATCACCGAACCCTGATTTCCACAGAACGTCTACCATCTAAGTGCTTTTCCCTCATGCTTATTTCCTCAGCTTCCTCCCAGACTCTTTTCATTGAGCTGATTCCTAACTGTGGCTTTTATATACCCTGAAGGGTCTGGCTTCTTTAAGACCTTACCAACGCCTAGTACAGTCCTCTTTCAATTGAACCATTCTCAAGGGTGCATAGGGGATCTCAGTGTGGATTTAATTTTCATTTCCCTGATTACTAGTGATGGTGAACGTCTTTTCATGTGTTTATTGGCCACATATGATCTTACCTGAGGGAAGAAATTTTCAAGTACTAGGTTATTTGTCTTCAACTAAGAAGATACACTTCTCCCAATTCATGTGTGTGTGTGTGGTAGGGACATACCCGAGAAAGAACCCAAGACCTCATGCACGCAAAGCATATGCTCTAGCCCCAATCTACTGTAAATGTAGCAAGCCCTAACTACAAGTCTCTCCTCCCCCCAACTCCTGAATTCAGAAAAGACTTCATTTAGGAGAAAGGAAAGGAAGGGGGGAAAAGCCAAGGAAGCTCCAACATTATGGAAAGGGTGCTCTGAAGAAGGATTCCCTAAACACAAGTCTTCTGACAGGTAAATGGCTTGTCTGTGTATTCTCTTCTCGGAAGTGTGGTTTCTCACCAGGAACCACTTCAGGGGCTATCTAACCCACATGCTTCTGGATCTCAATGGTCCTTTATTTTTAAGATCATTTAGGACGTCTAAAATCATTTACTACAGAGGTACTGAATTCCACTTTAAAGGAATTAAATTAAATTCCACGTCCCTTTGGGGATCTCTGAATACTCTAAGTATTTAAAGGGGTTCTCCATGGTGGCTGATGAAAGCGGTAATGATTTCCTGCCATGAACTCTTAACTGAAGAACTTTTCTTTCCTCAGAAATCGGTCTTGCTTCTCTTTGGTAGGGCTAACCCTTTGGAAGCGCAGGCTGGCATCTGATCAGACCCTCAGAGCGCCTCTGCAGCTGTTTAGAAAGACCGTTTATCTGCACAGCTCTCTCCTTCCTTGTACCTTACCCTGTGAGTTCTTGTACTGTTCTCTCCAAAACTGATCTGTGCTCTGGCGATCTAGTTGGGGGGTGGGGGGGGAGGGGCGCCCTGGACTCTTCCTCTCCACCATCTGGATACCAACAACAGGAAAAATGTAGGTGTGGTCATAAGGTTTATCTTACTTCCTTTGTTAAGTTTTATTCATGGATTATAGTCTTGTCCTGCCCACTATACAGAATCTGGAAATCAGCACTTCCCGTATTTTGTCCAACGTTCTAGTTGTGGTGGCAGAATAAGTGAGTCTGTTATTCTCTCAAAGCTCAAAGTGGAACTCCCACGCCGGAAGTTGAAAATCTAGCAACCCCAATCCTGGGCTCTACTTCCCCAGAGCTTCTTACTCACTAGGTGTGGCCTGGGGATCTGTATTTGAAACCGCTCTAGGGCCCACAGAGATAGCTCAGAGTGGGCTCAGGTCATGCTTTGCATTCAGGAGGTTCTCTGAACACTGCTGGGCACTACCCCTGGAGCCCTAAGAACTGCTCAGTGGGGCCCCAAAACTAAAACATCAAACAGGCCCAGGGTCAGAAAGAAAACTCGAACAGATGGGAGCGCGGGCTTTGTGCGTAGGAAGATCCAACTCAGGCACTGGGAGTGCCCCGAAGGACAGAGGCAGGAGAAGCTCCTGAGCACCTTAAGGTGTGACTCCAAACAGACAGAAGCGGGGGTGCAGAACAGTACGGTGGGAAAGCCGTTTGTCTCACATGAGGCTGACGTGCATTCAATCCCTGGCACCCCCTATAGTCCCCAGAGCCCCACCAGACATGCCGAACACAGAGCCAGGAGTAAGTCCTGAGCACTGTCAGGTGCGGCTCCCGCCCCTGCCAAAAATAATGGTTCACATGATTTTTACGCACTGCTAGATTTTAGAAATGCTGTGTTGACTCATCAAATACTAAAAAGCTAATAAATCTGACCACACGCTACTACTTTTTTCAAGTCATAGAAGCAAGAATTTATACCTCCTTTTCTTATAAAAATTTACAAAACATGGGGTATGGTGCCAGCAGGTCAATCTGTACCTGTGAGGTGAGTGCATTAGCAGCCTGATGGCGCCTTCTGACTTCCAGATATCCCAAAATTGCTGCTGTGCCTTTGGCCAGACCCCAAAAACTTGGGACAAAGTTTACCAAGAAAGTAAATGGCCAAAAGTTAGGTATATGGGAGAAACACCCACAAACCACCTGTGGCTCAGCTATATAATTGGAGGCATGGCCTCTCTGGTTCCTGATCCAAATGCTTAATGGCCATAATCCCAGAGACTCAGAAACAAATCTCGAAACCCAACGGCTTTTGGCAGAAATGCATCTGGTCCCCACAGTAGGCTACCGGCGCCAGGCCACCCGGGGGGGGAGGGGGTGGGGGGGAAGGGTGTTGTCCCTCTGCCTGCTCCCCCTTGGCGGCTCAGTGGCCACCATCCTCCAGAGGCCATTGGACAGTCAGGTTTGGGCCTGCAGTGATGAGACATGTGGGGCCTCATGTGATGGGGGTGGAGCCAGCCCTTTCCTCCCCTCCCCAACGAGACCCTGAGTCGCAGCCCAAATGGACTCTCTGGCTCCTGATTAACCTGCTTAACGGCCATGATCCCACAGACTCAGAAACAAATCTCGGAACCCGGCGGCTTCTTGCAGAAATATGTCTGGTCTCACAGTAGGCTACCGGCACTGGGCGACACCAGGGGGGAAAGGGTGCTGTTCCTCCGCCTGCTCCCCCTTGGCAGTTCAGTGGCCACCATCCTCCAGAGGACTTTGGACAGTCAGGTCTGGGTGACGAGACACGTGGTGGAGCTGGCCCTTTCCTGCCTGCCCCAACAAGACCACGAGTCACCACCCACAAACGGCCTCTCTAGCTCCTGATCAAGCTGCTTAATGGCCATGATCCCAGAGATTCAGGAACAAATCTCAGAACCCAGCAGGTTTTGGCAAGAAATCCCTCCAGATTTAATTGTTAAAATTTCGGAATTCTAAAATCACGCAGCCGCTACTGCGGCCATACGACATCATATGTTATTCATAAGCAGCAACAGAAAACAAATTATCTACGATTGCCTTTTCGGCAGATCTGAATGTTGGGGTAAAATCCCAAATAATAATGGTGGGTCTGGTGTCGAAATATTGAAGGTAATCAAAGTAGAGAGAGAATAATGTGGAAATTATCTGCCCTACAGGTAGGGGGAGGGTGTGGGATGGGGGGTATACTGGGGTTTTTGGTGGTGGAAAATGGGCACTGGTCTAGGGATGGGTGTTTCATCACTATGACCGAGACTTAAATCTGAAAGCTTTTAACTGCTCTCATGGTGATTCAATACATAAATTTATTAAAAAATTTAAAAAAAAAGGTGGAGTTCATGCCCAATTCAATCAGCTGAATAAATATCAATACTCCTACATTTTAAAAAATGCTTCTACCAGCAACAAGAAAAGTGGGGGAAAAATCTACAAAATGAATGTACATTAAACTTCAAATGACAAGTACAGAAAAAATTTGCCTTAATGAAGTACTTTTGGCTGGAGCGATAGCACAGTGGTAGGGCATTTGCCTTGTGCGCAGCCAGCCCGGCCGAGCTAGGTTCAATTCCTCTGCCCCTCTTGGAGAGCCCGGCAAGTTACTGAGAGTATCTCGTCCACGCGGCAAAGCCTGGCAAGCTACCGTGACATATTCAATATGCCAAACACAGTAACAACAAGTCTCGAAATGGAGACGTTACTGGGCCCGCTCAAGCAAACTGATAAACAATGGGAGGACAGTGTTTGCTTGACAGTTATTTATATCTTGAAGTCTTTAGAAAAGGATTAATAGAGCTTATAAAGAAGCACAAAATACAGATGTAATGGAGACTTTGTTGTCCTTCTATCTGTTTTGAATTGGAGGGGAGGATTATCCAAGCAGTGCTCAGAAGGAGTATCCAAGCAGTGACAATGACAATGACAATGATGCTCAGCCTTGGATGGTGTAATTCTGGAGGCGGGAGATGCAGTCCTGGGGGCACGTGGGTCTGGTGGCACTGTGGGTTCAAACAAAGGCCTCTTCAGGCCAGATATGCACTCCAGCACTTTCAACTATCTCCCTGGTCCTCTGCTTTTAAAGGTACAACACTATCTGTGCAAATGTATATGCAAAGTCTCTAACTTACAAAACTACGAATGTAGTAAGGTACGCTTTCACCCTAAACCTTCCTTCCTTCGGTTACTCACAGCCATGTGGGAAAATTCCACGTCAGCTACTCTTTCCCAAAGGGACTCAGTATTAATGGAGCAACGAAAGTCTGCTTGCTCTCTGGTCCTGCCACTGTGGGAAGGCAGGACAACTTGTGAAATCTGTCTGTGATGGGGCAGCAAAGCTCTATGCTACACACACAGCCAGCTTTAGGAGTCATCCTTTCCCGAATCCCGGCCTTGTGCATGCCCCTCCCTCTCTGGGATCGCCTAATGATTTTCAAACCAAAGAATGAAGTAACTCCATCCCAAGCTCTAAGCCTAGATCCTAAGAAGCACTGCTTACTTCCACTTTCAATTTCTTGGAGCCTGAGCCATCTGTCTGTACAAAGCAGAATTAGAGACCAGCCCACCCCTACCGAACCCAGGCAAAGCCAGAGAACAAGAAAAGAATTTAAATGCTGTCCTAAATTACGAAGTTCTAGAATGATCTGTGCTGCAGTAGAGCCTGGGAAATGCCAACGAAGTGTTCTACTCGGAGAGGTGCTTCATGCAGCACTCACTCAAAAGCCAAGTCTGAAACCAGAATGTCCAGGTTCAACCCCCAGCGCTACATCCTCTTAACTGTATGACCTTCAGCAAACTGCTTACTGCTTCTGGGACTCAGTTTCTACACAAGAAAACTGAGTCAATGGGTCAGAGAAATGGTACAGCAGGTGGCCCACCTGAATTCAATCCCTGGCACCCAGTATTGTCCCGAGACCACCCAGAGTGATCTCTGAACACAGAGCCAGGAGTAAGTCCTGAGCAATGCAGGTATGGCTCAATAATAAAAAATTAAACAAAACAAAAAAATAGTTCCAACAAGTACAGACCAGTGCCCTATGTGCTATTCCTGGAGCCAACTCCAACTTCTCCCGGCAACAAACAGCTGAACTGAACAGATGCTTCTGAACCCCACACTTGGGAGCTTAAAGGACCTGAGCAAACTCCCTTTCAGGCTGCATCACACTCTGTCCTTGCTGTGTCCCACTGCTCAGGTCAAAATTCCCCTCCCCATCCTTCCATGAGTCCCTTCCCGCAATACAAACTTTGGGGAAAGTCATACCCAAGAGAGAGATGTTGTGATGATTAAATAAGTCAACTATGAAAAGCATTTGGAGGGAGCCAGAGAGACAGCACAGAACGCAGGGCACTTTTTGCCTTGCATGCAGTTGAGCAGGGTTCAACCCCCAGCATCCAATAGAGTCCTCACAGCATGCCAGGAGTGATTCCTGAGCGCAGAGCCAGGAGTAACTCCTGAACACCACCGGGTGTGGCCCCAAAAAACAAAACAAAAACATCTGGAACAACTACTGGACCTAATTCTAGCTCCCTGGATCAAGAGCTGTTAGCAACTGCTATGATCAGAGATCTTAAGAATCACACATTTTAACATTTACGTAATTTATCCATTGAGGGTATCACGGTGTTTTAGAGAAAACACACCCCAACTCCATGCGCCTCACCCACCCTGTAGGAAACAGCAATGGCTCTGAGGACTGCAGGTCTCAGACTTCCAGAAGCTGAGGTGCCCCGAGTCTCCGAGTTAACAAGCACGTACCTGCATGGGGGAGACAGCTGCTGCAGGAGGTGTTTTCATAGGACTTGGACTCAGAGGGGTTCGCGGGATTGCAGCTGCAGAAGGGTTGGGCACTGCGAAAACAAGCACCATGTAAAGCACGAATGAAAAGTGCAAGCTGCCAGCATTCCTCTCGGGCTTCCCAAGGCCAAGCTCAGCTGGAAGCCCAGTGAGACCAGCAGCCTGCACAACTTCTGCCACCAGGTACACCTGCGTACATCACTGGAGCAGCTGCTTTTATTTCCAGTCCTTCATTTTTGCTACTTTAATGCACAGTGGAAATGTACCACAAACCAGTGAGTGTTCAGAAAATTCAAACTGGGCACACAAGTGAAATCAGGCATATCACAGAGTGGGGCAAGATGAAGTAGATTACTGTGGCCCTTTAAGTCAGATAAGTATTTTAATCTGTTTTTTGGGGTTTTCCCCCTCCAAAAGTAAATTTTAAAAAGCTTTATTATGTTTAACACTGTATTTTGAGATTTTTTTTTTATTGAGATGAAATTCATAAAGCAGCCGTTTCTGAGTTCAGTAGCATTTAGTACATTCAATTACCTCTGCTTAATTCCAAAACATTTTCTTTTCATTGGAGGGTAAGAGGGTTGCGCTGTGCCCAGGAGTGACCCCTGGCAGTGCTGGGGGAATAGATGTGGTGCCAGGATCTGAACCAGAGGCCAGCATTTTAACCTCATGGACTAGCTCTGGTCCCCAGATCCAGACTCTCTTTAAGCAGCTACTCTCCTTTACCTCTTCCCAGTCGCCAACAGTCACCAACCTGCTTTCTTTCCTTGTGGATTTACCTGCTACCTACAAACAGCATCTTAGGAGATGTGTCCTTTGGTGTCTGACTTCCTTCACTTCTAGGTGATATGCCTTTATCAGGACTGCATTCTGTTATGTCTGAATCATGTTCTACTGTACAGACAGGCAACATTCTGACTATCCTATCGTCTGCTGATGGACATGTTGGCTATTCATATCAGACAACATTTGTGGTGACTGGGCTATCATGAGTAGTGCAACAATAAATAATTTATGCACAATCACTAGTCTGAACACTTGTATTCACTTGTTTTGAGTATACAGCAAATGGAACTGCTAGATAATTTAAATTTATTTTATTAGAAAACATTGTTTATTAGGGCCAAGAATAAGTCCAACGGCTGGAGTGCATGCTTGGCATACATTGGACCCCAGGTTTTACCCCAGTATTACAGGATACCCCCGCCACCCCCAGTACTGCTGGAGAAATCCAAACCAAACACTCACTCCCTCCAATCAACAACAAATGAAACATTAAAAATATTTTTTAAAAAACATGACTTTGGTCTAATTTTAAGTCAAAGAAAGTTAATTTGGGAATAATCACTAGAATAAAGCCTCTGTGAACTCTAGGCTGATTAGAATGTAGACTGATTTAGAGTGAACCAGAATAAAGCTTAAAGAATTTATACATGAGGGGCCAGAGAGATGGTATAGTGGGTGGGGTGCCTGTCTCACACGTGGCCAACCCAAGTTCAATCCTAGCACTCCATCTGGTTCCCTAAGCACTGCCAGAGAGCCACCCCCAAGTATCAAGCCGGAAGTAACCATGAACATTGCTGGGTATATGGCCCCCAAATCAAAAGTAATAAATAAGGAAGGATTTTAGATTTCTGATTTAAATAACTGAGTGGAGTGGTGCCACCACCAACAAAAGGTTAAAAACTGAAGTTCAAAGACAAAGTTTGGTTTAGGACACAGATGTCCAGAGGGCTAGCGCATGTGAGTATCAAGTAGGCATTTGGATATACAAGCCTCAAGGAGTTTGGAAGAAGAAAAAGATCATTTCAGTCATGTATCTGAAAGATCTAAGGCACAGGTATGTGTGAAATTACAGGTATGTGCAAAGACACGTCTATATATACGAGACTGAGGCACAGGACTGAGACCAAGATCTCTGAAGCTGAAGAGATCTCAAATCTATTAAAATCCACCTCACAGTGAGACTAACTCATCAAGACAATATGAAATTTAATGAGACTTAAGAGAATAAAAGAGTGAAAAAATTAGCAAATCAGGTGAGAGAACAAACGTAAGTATATACCATTGCCTGCCCTTGGCAGAGCGTTGAAGAGATTACCTTGGGGTCTGGGGTGATAGACAGCAGGCACAGCAGTTGCCTGGCACATGGCCATCTAGGGTTCGATCCCCAGCTCCCCACAAGGTTCCCCGAACCCTGCCAGGAGTGATCCCTGAGCACAGAGCCAGGAGTAAGCCCTGAGCATGGCCAGGTGTGGCCCCCAAACCAAAAACCAAACAAACAGTAACAACCACCAAAAGAAATTACCTTGAGATGCACTGTCGAAGGACTTGATAAGGGTTTTTACTGTAGGGGTTGGCTCAGAGGAAGTAGAAGACCTTCTACTCAGTCCCATTCCTTGCCTTAAGGCTGCCAAATCTCTCTCAACAGCATTCATGTAGTTATATACCCGGCCTCGCTCTTCCTCTTGCCTGAAAACAATTCTCAAATGAGTCTTTTTAAAAATACATGTGAAAACTGACCTTTCCCCCTCCCAACTGAAAAGTATTTAAGAAGTATCAATTTTTTAGAACACAGTATCAGTTGAGCTGAGCATATGACCTGGTCTAATACTCTCATTTGATTGGTAAATGCCAGGAAATTATATTAAAATTTTTATATCAGGTTATCCTAAGTAGGTTAAACAACCATCAGATTCCATTTTCATCTGAGAGCAAGGTGAAGACATCAGTAACCAATTAGCAACAAAACGGGAGGCAGACTGGCCAAAGACCTTAATTCAGAGCCTGGAATATGCCTTGCAGCTGAGCAGGGCTGCCTTTCCCGGGAGCGCCTGGGAATTCCCCACTACAGGAGACTTTACACTGACACACTACGCCGTGTGCTGTGTGCAGACACAGAGGCACAAAGAAATCAAACCAAAGCTCCTTCTCTTTAAAAACAAACAACAGGATGGCCGAAGTGATAGCACAGTGGGTAGGACATTGGTCTTGCTTGTGGCAGACCCAAGCTTGATCCTGGCACCCCATATGGTCCCTGGAGCCTGCCGGGCACCTGTGCCAGAGTCAGGAGGAAGTCCTGAGCACCGCCAGGTGTGGGCTCCAAACCAAAGCAAACAACAACAAAAAAAAACACAAACAACAACAAAAAAACCCTGATGTGATCTGCTATAAAGAAGGAGGGAGAGGGTGGGGTGGGGAAAGACTGTGTCTATATTAGTAACATGAGTCTCCTAGATCTTAATGTGATGGACCATGAGTCATCTGAAAAAATCAATTCCATCTCATTTCTGGCCAGTTCTAATTCACTGAGCTGAGTAACACAAAAGTTTTAATCTGGAATGAGATCACAGCTGCCGAGTTTGCAAATGTCACGTAACTAGCAAGTGAGATTCTGAGTGCACAAAAAAGTCAGCCAGTCCTTAGAAAAAATTGTTTCTGATAGCCATTTGGTTCTTCTAACAGAGATTTTTGCCTCAAGGTGAATTATAAGGTATCATACTCATAGTTTTAATAACCGACATCACTGAAGATCAAAATTTTGTCCCTAGAGCTCTCTTTTCACTTTTAAAAATTATTGTGGGGGCTAGAAATGTTACTCAGTGGTAAAAAAAATTTTTTTAGACATGGCAGGACCTGGGTTTAATCCATAATACAGCAGAAAGGAGGAAATAAAAGGTATTACAGGATAGCTCAAGGGACTGGAGCACAAGCTGTGCATGCAGGAGTCTTGGGGTGCACTGTCCCACATGGGGTTCCCAGGACTACTGGGAGTAGCAACCAAGCATTGCCAGATGTGACCCAAAAGCAAGCGAACAACAAAAGAAAATTAAGATTTTTTATGTGGGTTATATCTACTGAAACTTGCCATATTAGAAATTAAAACTAAGAAATCTTTACAAATCAAGCCTTATCACCTAAATGTTTTATTAAAATATCAGAAAGAATAATGGCAGTGATTTTTACATTTTAGCATATCTAATAATATCCAGCTTGGCAGGCAACAACTGGACTGTCAATTCTTCTGTATTAAATCCAATGCAATATAAAAAAGCAAACCTTGCACTGATATGTAGCTGAAAAAAGGAAGACTATTCCAGTGACATACACATAAATAATGAGGCTAATTATTCCTCAATGGTACACCGAAACAGCGGTAGGGCATTTGCCTTGTGCGCAGCCAGCCTGGCCAAGCCGGGTTTCGTTCTTCCACCACTCTCGGAGAGCCTGGCAAGCTACCGAGAGTATCTCGCCCACACAGCAAAGCCTGGCAAGCTACCCGTGACGTATTCAATATGCCAAACACAGTTAACAACAAGTCTCAAAATGGAGACGTTACTGGGCCCACTCGAGAGAATTGATGAACAACGGGAGGACAGTGCTACAGACAGTGCTAATTTAAAAGTCTAGGGCAATGTGAACTAAGAAGCTGGGATCATTGGTGGTGGAGAATGGGTACTCAATCATTGTATAACTGAAACCCAAGCACAAAAATTTGTAAGTCTGTACCTCGTGGTATTTAACTAACAACTGTACCTTATGGTGTTTCACTAATAAAAATTTTTAAAAAAAAATCATAAATAAATTCAGTATTCTCACTGAATATTTTGAGTTTACAATGACCTCTCTAAGCTAGGGAAGAAAAAAAAATGTATAATTTATATGGCTGAGTTCTATGTGGCTACAAACATGACCGAAGTGAAAACTCCAGTGAGTGAGAGAGACAAATTCATCTGGCACTTTCTGCTTAAGACTCTAAGTGTTCTGCCGAAGTGTACTCCTTACTGTCCTTGGCAGGCACAGCTCATTTAAGCCTTAAAGCCTTAAACGCTGTAAAGATTTTAGAGGTTAACTAGCTGAGCCTCAGGGCCCTGACCAAGATCATATAAGTAGTAAGAAGCAGAGCTGAACAGGACTCTACATCCTTAATCACAAAATAACAGGTGAGACTGGCCAGAGACAGTTCAGTGGGCAGGGTGTTTGCCTTACACAGGGCTGTCCCAGGTTGGATCCCTGACATTCCATATGGTCCCCCAGGCACCTCCGGGAGTGATCCCTGAGAAGAGAGCCAGGAATAAGCCCTGAACACCACTTAGCGAAACACAGAAACAAAACAAAAAGTGAAGAGAGAAGAGGACAGAGACAACCACAATGTACCCATGCACCAGGAACCACTCTGTCCCTTCTACGTTGATTACAGACACTGACAGTTCCAAACAGCCATGCAGATGTTCAGATGCACTATCTGACGGGGTCAGAAAACAGAAAACCTGAGGAATTTCCACTAGATCCAAACTCAGCCATATCAATGTTGAATCTCATGGTTTTCACATAACACCTTATGACAAAAGCGAAATTTAAGCGTTCTCCATCGACATAAAGTGAAAAAATAGTTTTTCCTAAACATACTTGCGAGACTTTATTTCCTCCAATTCTTTTGTGAGTTTCTCATTTTTCTCTTGCGCTTCGTGTAACCGGCGCTTCAGATCCCCAATCTCCTCTTGAGCTTCAGATTTAATGTCATTTGCAATGACCACAGCAGTCTGAAGATCAGCTTGAAACTGCCGCCATTCTGCAGATTCTTCCTATATTAAAAAACTAAAATTATATTTCCAAAAGAGAGCAATGAAGATTTATTTTAAAATAATAAATGTGTTTATGATCAGATTCCTCTAGTGTATGTACTTCCAGCTGATGACCGATTTTTTTTAACTCTTCAAGGAAATGTTATTACCCTTTACTAAGAAGTAATGCATTGTCAAGTGAACCTGCTCTGACGAAAAGGAGTCCTCAACAACGCTAAATGCTAAAAAACCTCTCTCCTCTGCACACAAAATTTCAAAGTGAGTCCTATAAGAACACATTGCCCAAAACTTACAGTGTTTTACCTCTAAAACCTCAGACAGTGTATAAATTGTGTGTCAACCATAAAGATTTTACAGGAAAACTATAAATACCCTGACATCAAAAACTAATAGGAAAAAAAAATTAAAAGTAAAGGAAAAGGAAGAGGAAACCCAAAGAAAAACACTAAATGAACAGAGACAGACAGAATCATACAAGAAGAGGAGCTAAGGAATTAGTTGGTCCACTGCTTCCCACAGCCAAGGAAGATCTGGTTGCACCTTGGCGGGGAAAGCTTCCCAGGGCATCTTACCACAAAGCCACAGCTGCACCACAGCAGAGCAATTTCCCAACCCCATGACGGCTGCCATAGCGACCGAGGCTCGGCCCCATCGACAAGATTAACTCTCCCCCACCTGCTATCTTGGAGCAGAACTGCCGTGAGAAAGCCAATCAAACCCAAAGACTAAGGGCAGCCCTTATGAGAGCCTCCCAAACTTCTATCATTGAGAGCTACTACATGTTCTTTTTGAAATTTAACACCTGGTTCCTAATTCCACTCTCTCCAGAATCTAAACTCATCAGCACTCAACTCGTCCATTCTTCCATGCAGAATCTAGCACCGGTCCAAAGTGGAGATGACGGCACTTTTTTTTCTGCCCCAAACCTAGGGGGTCCATATAATAATTGCATCTGAAGCGTGAGATTAATGATACCAGGGTCTATTTACTGCACTACTCTCAAGTTTCATGAAGCTGTATTTTCTAATGTAACAATACGTGAAGATTTATCCTACCCGAAGTCTCCTGTGGAGTGTCTTGATTTCTCTTTCCATGTCATGTTTTTGGTCCTGGAGTTTTTTAACTGTATCTGAAAAGACCACAAAAAATTAAGAATTTAAAGTTATGTTCAAAACTAGTAGTATGAAGGAAGTAGAACATAAATTTGACATTAAAAAAAAAGAGAACCTTCCCGAAGACCCTTTATTGTTTTGTTATGATGGGGGGGAGAGGGCCCATACCCACTGGTGTTCGGGGGCCATTCCATTCAGTGTTTAGAAGTGGGTCCCGGTGGGGCTCGGGGGCCATGTGGGCCATACTGGGCTCGACCCTGGGTTCCCGCATGCACAGCACACAATGTGTCTCCTGAGCTACCTCTCTAGTTCCCTGCAAACACTACCTGGAGGAGGAGGGACATGCAAAACCTCTGATAGGAGGGAAGTGAGGCAGTCCCCTGGTGCCAGGAAGCAGACTAAGCTAAGATTCTGTATGCAAAGCAGCATTCCCTTTCGAGCCACCTTCCCAGGCCCAAGAAATTGTCTCTGTTTTCTGGGTCACACCCAGAAGTGCTCAGGGTTGCTACTGGCTCTGTGCTCAAGGATCCCTCCTGGTGGAGTATGGGGTCATCTGCGTGTAAGCAAGTACCTGACTCACTGTACTATTTCTCCAGCCTCAAGACTTCTTTTTTCTTTAAACTTTCTAATGATTTTTCTTTTTTCTTTTTTGGTCTGAGGGTCACACCTGGGAATGCCCAGGGGTTACTCCTGGCTCTGAGCTCAAGAACGACTCCGGGTGGTACTTGGGAGACTATTTGGGGTGCTGGAGATCACAGGCTGGCCGCAGGCATAGCAAGTGCCCTTCCTGCTGTACTGTCTCTTCAGCCCCAAGACTTTTTCTTTTTAATTCAAAACTTTAAGAGAAAATAAGGAACACTCAAATCAAGCTTAACCAATACTACTAAGAAAAATACTAAATGTAAATCACAATTCCTAGATTACTCCCTCACTGTCTTCATTCTGAAACAAATAGTTAACTAAAATTAACTGCTAGTAACACACATATTATTGGCGAATAAGATTACCTCTATGAAAGTGTAAACTTTTAATCTCAAGGATATTTAAATACGAGGCCTTTAAAACGAAACAGATAAATTAAGGTACACGACAATGAAAGAAGTGAGAGTATAACACTAGAAGAATTATTGCCTGGATTGTTCGCTTAATTATTCCACATTAACTCTTGTCAGGGATATCATAATAGACTTCTGATGAGGCGTTTCCTTCTTATTAGTAGCCGGAAATGTGACATAGTGAACACCTGGGTACAATGATACATGCAATTTAAAAAATCCTTTGGGGCCACTAGAGCGGGTAATGTGTTTGTATTACACACAGTTAACCTCAGTTCAATCCCAGCACCACATGGGTCCTGAGCACTGCCAAGATTCCTCAACACAGAGCTAGGAGTAATTCCTAAGCACAGCTGGGTGTGGCTCAAAAACAAACCACCAAAAAGATTTCTTTTAATGAAAAGCTAAATTATTAGGGTGTATTTTCTTTCTGCAGTCACATAACTTTATTTTTAAAAACCGAATGATTAATGTTCAAAACATAAACAGGAAGAAAATACAAACAGCTACAGTTCTCTCTCTGCCGTCAGAGCAGAATCCTCCCCAGTTGTGTTAAATAAAGAAACTTGCTCACCACTGGTGCCTTGGAAGAAACCACCTGTGACTTCCCCATTTCATGGGTCTCTAGCCTCAAGACCCTTAATATGACTAAACGGATATTTTTCTCTTGCTTCTCCAGCATTTTCAGAAATTTGCTGGGAAAAATGTGTGACATTACTCCTTGAATTTAATGCCATTACATTTCTATTCTGCTCTCTTTATTCCCACTGCTCTTGCTGCAATGGCCCGGGCCCGTACACATGCCTGTGTAAGGTGAGGTGCTTGTAGACTTGGCCCAAGTGCTCATCAGTTTAGTCGTGCTACTCAGACATGCTCTGACTGTGATGCTCGCCCAGGGGTCAGATACTTCAGCTGCAGGGCACACACACCTGGCTGTGCAGCACCAAAAACAGTGCTCTGCTGTAGCACTCAGGTGAGATTTCCCAACAGCCAAACTACCGGTACTGAACCTGGCACCTATGGGCAGCGCTGGGGAAGAATTCACAGCCTCACACGCACCAGGCAGGTGTTTATGCCAATGAGCCATCACACCCCCCCCAATCTTCTTATATCTTAAAATAAATGGCATAAATTCACTTCAGGAACAATATGAAACTAGACTATATGTTTGTTATAAGTAAAATTTATACTTACTAAAGTCGGATAAAAACAATTTGGAAGGGGACTGGTCAAACACAGTAACCACTAGTAACCATTAGATAACTAACTTCCTCTCGTTGTTCCCAAACCGTTGAACAAGGCTGAGGTTTGGGCCAGGGAGAAAACTCAAAGGACTAGAGTCCTGCTTTACAAGCAGGAGGTCTGGGTTTGATCCTGGGTACCATAACAGTGGGTTTGGCCCAAAATTTAAAAAAAAAAAAGTGCTAGAGACTATGAAATAAAAAGCCCTTGCCTCCTTCCTATATTCACTGATTTGACAGGAAGAATAGAGGAAAAAATACACAGTCCCCACCCACTTTGAGACAGGTCAATGGTGGTGGGGGGGGGTTCTGGGGGTTGGCAAGAAAGATGACATGGGGTTGCTCAGGGATTACCCCTGGCTCTGTGCTCAGGGGTCACTCTTGGTGGTACTTGGGGCACCATATGCAGTATAGGTGACTGAATGGGGTCCAGCCACCTGCAAAGCAACTGTCTTACCTATTACACGCGCTCTTCAGCACAGAAAGGTGAATCTGACACTGAGCTAGCAAAGGATGGCGTTTCTATATGCAGAGAGTTAAAACTTGTAATATACAAGGCACTTAGATCTAATTTAGCTATGAGCTCAGGGGGAAATGGGCCATCCATATCCAATATCGATAGGAGGAAGCTAATAACCAAGGTAAATAGGTAAGTTTAATATCTACCTTCTCCTTATCTCAAGGGCTAAGAATAACCCTGGATGTGAACTATATCGAGGTCTGGTGATATCAGTGACCCAGGTACGGAGCAAAGACAGACACTGAAAGACGGAGTTGGAAACATTGGGGGATATACCATTCAATTATATCACACCTATTTAAAAGCAAGAAATGTTAAGACAGGCAAGGAAAAGGAGGGCGGGGGGGCGGGGATGTATAGCCTATTCTCTGCTGACACTGTTTTCCTGTTCTTCTGGTCACAAGGAATTCATCTTCAGAATGAAGCAGACAAATGAAGCAAAGCCGGCAATGCCAGAATACACCTGGCTGCTCTGCAGAGTTTCACAGTGGGAGGGACACTGCCATCTACCGACCTCAGCTGAAATGCAAAACTAAACTCAACAGAATTACTAGTCTCATTTTTAAACTACAAGTTATAATTGAATTTCACACTGACATTTTTATTCTAGAAATCAGTTAGACTGCTCTCCCGCTTTTAACAGGCAACTCTGCCTATTGAAACACATGATTCTGGCTAGAGCGATAGCACAGCGGATAGGGTGTTTGCCTTGCACGCGGCTGACCCGGGTTTGATTCCCAGCACCCCATATGGGCCCTGAGCACGGCCAGGAGCAATTTCTGAGTGCATGAGCCAGGAGTAACCCTTGTGCATTGACGGGCGTGACCCAAAAAAAAAAAATTACAATTCAATAGTCGAGTTCTCCATTTTCATCATTAAGTATTGGGCATTCGTGATAAATTCAGATCAACCAGGCCTCTCCATTCTGAATATATATTGGTTTCTCAAACAGATATCATTAGGTACAAGATGCCCAGATATCACGGGGGCGATGGTCAAAACCATGACCTCTAGGGCTATATGCAAGACTAAGATCATAAGCAATCTTACCTACTCCCTGAACTGAAAAATAAAAGCCCTGTGCTCAGCCAGACTGGCATTTGGTCAGGTCTCCCTCCAGCCAGTACCAGGAATGAGTTCACAGGAAAGGGAAGGACAGAGTGACCCTCCAGTCAACACACCACACCTTGGGGCCCGAGAGACAGCTCAAATTGGTACAAAGCAGCCCAGTGTAAAAGAAACTTGAGGTTTTTCCCTGGTATCGTGTGCCCCACCCCTAGCCAGCTGGCTGTTGCCTGGTGCCCCAGCAGTGAGTGTGAGGTGGTGTCCAGGCAGGCACACACACTCTGTCACCAACTCGGGAGAGCATTGCTCTAGTCCAGGCCTCTCGCCTTTCACTCTAGCTGCGGCATTCTGTGATTTCTCTGTCAGTAGACTCAAACACCCGCTTGCTTCAAATAGGGACAATGGCAGCTTCAACTAAGGCAACCCTGGCGCCTCTTTCCCGCCCAGCCCAGACCTTTCTTCACATTAGCTGGGACCTACTGACTGACCACCAAGTACACTGGCTATTCTCAATCTCTAACTGCCTTTAAAACAAACAAAACTTGTTCAGTAAACTTTCTGCATGTGCTAATAAAACTCTTCGGTGCTAAAATACCTACTGTTTTTCCATTTCACTTCTCTAGAGATTAGGTATGTATTCATCATAAGCGTGCTTTCCTCTATATCCCAGGCACTATACTAGCTGCTTTCAATTGTGTTCACTAAATATGAAGTCAGATCCTTTTAGGGTAAAAGAACGATTACTAAATAGGTACAGGTTTCTTTCTGGGGTAATGAAAAAGTTCTAAAATCAAATTGCAGGGTGGATACTAAAACATTCCAGAAGGGAAAAAGTATCAATCTTTCAATGAACACTATATCAAGTCCCTTCTATTAAGTGCTGACCTGCCATCAATTCCAAACTCAAGAATTTTCCAGGAACGGGGGTATGGTGCCTCCAGCAGGTCAATCTGTACCTGTGAGGTGAGTGCATCAGCAGCCTGATGGTGCCTTCAGACTTCCAGATACGCCAAAATTGCTGCTGTGCCTTTGACCAGACCCCAACAACTTGGGGTCAAGTTTACCAAGAAAGTAAATGGCCAAAAGTTAGGTATGTGGGAGACATACCCACAAACCACCTCCGGCTCAGCTATATA